TTTCTTATTTTTCGTCCAACATCCCTATGTAGGAGGACAGGCCCGACTTGAGACGAGCACGGGGATCGAGCGACTCGTTGGGACGTCTCCACTGCTGGGGCTCGTGGGCCCTCGCTGGCGCTCGCTGGGCCCCGTTGGTCTAGGCCTCCTATAGATGGGGTCGGAGTGGATGGGGTCGGAGGATCGCGCCGCATCGCTACAGTCGGCCCGGATTAGTAGGTCGACCCTGCCAAACCAAGGGTACTTCTGTGTCCTGTGTGTTCGCGACACATGCCTTCTACATCATTGTGGCAATGTGGTCCTCGGAAGGGTGTTGTGTCCTCTCGCGTGTCCTCTCCAATCAATCCCGACTGTAATGCATCGCCGATGCGGCTCGATGTGGAGCCCGATTTCTTCCACGTCGACGTCGCCAATGCATCGCCCACGTCGGCGATGCGGCGCGATCCTCCGACCCCATCTACTTGGACTCCATCTAGGAGGCCTCTAGTTGGGCCTAGTAATGACGACCAACCCGCAAAGTACGGATGGGCAACGTTCCCAGGTGTGCCCCTGCATCCTTGCCTCCTCGGTCCATGCTTGGCGACGTTCGTTGGCCGCGCCCCGCTCGAAAAGCTTCGAAACAGCCTTCCAAGGCCCTTGCATCCTCATCGTGCATCCTTGTCATGCGGGTCGGCTGTATACGAGTCCGCTGCTGGTGCTCGCTAGGCCTCGGGGGAGCCCCCAGTGATGATCTTCCGCGACGAGTCGTCGGTCTCTTATCTTTCTTCGCGAGGGTCAAGCTGGGGTCGCGGGCCTCGAGGTTTACAGCCCGGCCTCTCTTGAATTGCGAATTGGCCAGAAATTCGAAGGACAATCCAGCCATGACGACGATGGCGCCCCAGGAGGCCCAACAGGGCGAACGCTTTCAATGTCCGGACATCGAGGATCATTTTTTCCGTGGCGGCACGATCTGATGCCAGGAAGGAGAGGAGGAGCAGGAGGAGGAATTAAGAGGAGGAGGAGGAGGAGGAGGAGGAGGAGGAGGAGGAGGACGAGGACGAGGACGAGGACGAGGACGAGGACGAGGACGAGGTAGGAGGAGGAAGAGGGAGGAGGAGGAGCAGAGGGGGAGGGGGAGGGAGGAGGGGGGGATGAGCAGGGGGAAAAGAAGGGATGAGGAGGTGGCGTGAAGAGGAGGAGGGGGGGGATCCTGTCCCCACCTCTCCCTCCTATCTTTCTTCTCCTTCCTTCTCATCCGTCTCCTCTGCTCCCCTCTCCCCTCCCCGTGGGCTTGCGGGGCAATCGAGGCATAAGCTCTGCGAGTTCGCGCCCGCGGGGCGGCACTACGTCATCCAGAGCTTCAGGGGCGACCCAGCGGAGAAGAGCAACTCCAGGCGGGGAGGGGGCCGAGGAGGAGGAGGACGGGGCGGGGGAGGAGTCAAGCGTGGATGGATGTCATGATGCAGGGGGAGGTTGGAGGAAGCGGTAGGAGGGGCAAGGCACCTCCTCCCCGAAGAAGCTTCTGGGGCATGTACGCTCCACGTTTCACAGGGGGGATCCTCCCCACATCGACCCCACATCGCCCCGCCGATGCCCGGTTTCCAGGGGCTTGTCGCCGATCTATCGACGGTGATGCATCGCCGGTTCCGGGTCGATGTTTCTAAGCCGCTGCCCCTTGGGGGAAGGCGAGCGAAGTCGTGCTGGAGGTGTTTCCCAGGCGCCCGATCCGGGCCATCCGCTCCGATTTTGATCGAATTGTTGCCGGAGTCCAAGCTAGGTGCGCTCGCGTCATATCTGACCGCCTCCCTTGCTGGCGCATGCGCGAGAGAGCACCGCAGCGTAGTATCAACCTAGCATTGCATTGCATGCCGTGGCATGGCACGGGAAATGACGCCAGCGCTGCAGCGGGAGCACGAGTTGGGGCCAGCGCTGCAGCGGGAGCACGATTCGGAACGAGCGGAAGCACGGAAATGAGGCCAGCGCTGCAGCGGGAGCACGATTCGGAACGAGCGGGGCCCGAAAATGAGGCCGGCGCCTCAGCGAGAGCAGCCTTTTGAAACAAATGCAGGCGAAAACCCAACTCCGGGGAAACCTGTGTGTAACAAAAACAGTACGCGGAGGGGGGGGGTCGGACACTTTCAAACCGTCTTCAGGGGAAGAGGGAGAGTAGTATTCATATTGAGTAATTGTGGACGGGGGGTGGAAGGGGAGGAGGAGGAGGAGGAGGAGGAGGAGGACGAGGAGGACGAGGAGGACGAGGAGGACGAGGAGGTCGGAGGAGGAGAGGGAGGAGGAGGAGGAGGTGGAGGAGGATGAGGAGGGTGGGGAGGAAGAGGAGGAGGAGGAGGAGGAGGAGGAGGAGGAACTGTGAAGGCGCCAATAAGCTTATACCTGCCAGTCTGGTGCGGGACAGGTATCGGTGCTATGGATCTTGCAGCGTTGGCTGCAGCAGCGTCTCCGTGCTAATCTGAGCTTATCTGAGGCTGCGCCTATTCCGGCCTCGACCTGAAGATCGTCGAACTCTCTGTTATCTCCATGTGAGGAGGAGGAGGAGGAAGAGGAGGAGAAGGAGGAGGACAGTGTAAACCCAAGACTCGTCATCATCGATGTTGGAATCAACCCTCCCTCCAAGCTACCTCTGCATAGGCCCCAGCTGGGATTCATTTCCACCGAGGGACATGCCCTGTTGGGGACAACCGTTTCGACCCAATTTCGGCTCAAGTCCGATTCAGGTTCGACTCAAGTTCGACTCAGGTTCGAATCGGGTCGAAGGACGGTCGACGCAGCTTCGACGCACGAGCGGAACGATTGGCTCTAAAAAGGTCCCCAGAATGTGTCCCTTCTGTGTCCACTGTGTGTCCACTGCGGGGCCTGGAGTCGCGAATAAGCGGTAAAGCGTTCGAGGCCTTGCGCAGCCCCCGCCCGAGTCAGTTTGGAGGTAGTGCATCGTTTTCTTTGTTGCCTTGTCCCCAACCCCCGAGTTCGAGCGTTGTTCGATTGGGCGATATTTGCGTCGAAGGTTGGAATCGTGTTTGGGTCCTCCCGCTGGGTGGAAGAAGCCACGGTTGTTTCGAGTTGGGTTGCCGACAGCCCATTGTCTTACGAGCAGCGAGTGGCCAACGCCGAGGAAGTTGCTCGCGTTTCATGGCTACTAATGTTGTTCCCTTGTCGAGGGTACCGCTGTGTGACGTTTCCACTTACAGCGGTGCTGACATAATGAACGATGTAACCATCATCATATCTTGTTTGATCAGTGGGTTTGGCCTTTCCGCCGAAGACCTGTCTGGCGCCATCCTATCCTATCCTATCCCCTTTGTGCATCGCAGGCAGTGCATGCTGAACATTTGGTGGGCACTGCTGGGCAGTATATCCTGGTCGGCATCAGTGTCGCTTCAACGAATGCGTTGGACTGCCTTGCGATTTCCATTACATCGCATTCTGTGCATTCTCCTGGGGCCTTGGCCCCGAGCCCGCTCAGCCGTCCCCTCGTTTGGACTCTTGCGCGCTGGCGTTTGTCTTGTCTTGTCCCTCCCTCCACTGCTCGAGCGATGATGCACCGGTGGGAGGTCGCCGTGACCGGAGCCATCATCGGCCGAAGCTGCCCCGACCTCGACGCCTTGTGCAGGGACGACCCGCCAGCCAGGCCGATCCGAGGAGGGGATCGAGGGAGGAGCGGGGGCGGGAGGAGGAGCCGAGGATGAGGATACGTTCGAGCATGGGCGGTCGGTGCTGGGGGGGCGCCTTGGGGCCTCCGGGACCCCAGGCCGCAGGCCTTGGGAGACTCTGTGGCTGGGAGGAGGGAGAGGAGCAGGAGAAAGAGGAGGAACAGGAGGAGTCGAGGAGGAGGCTCCTTTTCCTCCTCCTCCTCCTCCTCCTCCTCCTCGCGCCGTGATTTGAAAAGAAAGGAGGCTTCGGGAGCACCAGGGCTGAGTGCGACACGAGTTGTGAGAGATTGGCGTCGGGAGCGCGAGCGCGTCGTCATGTGCGAAGGAGTGCGGCCTTGGGAGCACGCGGTTGCGGAAACACATCTTTTGGGTAATTTGCAAGGGTTTGTGGCCTCGTGAGCGCGACGCGACGTAATGTACTAGGGATTGTGTTGTGGCCTCGGGTGCGCGACAGTGTAATGGCGTCGGGAGCGCGAGCTTGCTGTAATGTATTGGGGATTGATGCCTCCCGAGCGCGGATGAATTCTATTGTACAAGGGTTGTGGCGTCGGGAGCCCGACCCCGTCCTTATTTTCAACGGGTTGTTGCTTCGGGAGCGCGAGCGTTATTCCCCAAACAGCGTTTGCACTTGGAGGTCCTTATTTTCTGTCTAAGGGACGTGGGCTCGTTTGTCGGATCCGCTGCCGTGTTGCCGCCGTCCCCGCCCCGTCGCCGCCCGTCGTTTGGCCTCGTTTGTCGGATCCGCCGCCTTGTTGCCGCCGTCGCCACCCCGTCGCCGCCTCGTTGCTACAAAAACCACTTCCTCACATATGTTGCACCACGTAGATCTCATACCATAGAACATCTAATGCATAACATAGATTACACAGCATACTTGGCAGCACGACATTGCTCCACAGGGATTGCACAACATAGACTTCGCACCACATGTATTGCACCACGTTGACTGCACAGCATCGACTACACGACATACATTGCACAACATAGAGTGCACAACCAATCGAAGACGTCTACGGCGAATCACCGCCGCCCCTTGCCTCTTGAAATCATCAATGTGGCTCGGCGTTGTGACAAGAGCTCCGCAACGCTATCGGACCATGTGTTCCCCTAACCGATGTGGAAGCCCTTCGGGAGACACTTGGGGGAGAATGGCAGGGAAGATCAGGAATAGGGAGAAGGAGGAACGAGAGGAGTAGGAGGAGTAGGAGGAGTAGGAGGAGGAGAAGGAGGAGGAGGAGGAGGAGGAGCAGGAGCAGGAGGCATCTTCAGAGCCCCTGGGGGCATTCTTGGGGACTCTTGGGAGCTTCCTGGGAGCCTCTTTGAGGCATCTTGGGGCCCCCTTCGGCCTCTTGGGGACCTTTTGGGGCGTCTCGGGGGCCTCTTAGGCCGTCTCAAGGCATTCCTGGCCCGTCTGACGCCGTCGGAAGCCGTCTTGGGGGCCTCTCTGGGCCGACTTGAAACCTTCTTGGGGTGCTCCAGTGCCGTCTTGGAGGCCGCCTTGGGCGTGTTGGAGGCCTCTTTGGCGTCTGGGAGCCCTCTCGTGGCCGTCTTGGGGGCGTTTTGTGCCGTTTTGATCCTCTTGGGCGATCCTTCGGTGCTCTTGGGCAGTCTCGGACCGTCGGAAGGCCGACAAGAAGCAGATGCCAAAAACCTTCAAACACCTGAAGGCAAATCAATGATTTCGGTATCTTCGGACCCACCTGGAGTCCCTCTTGGAGGCCTCTTCGGCCGTGTTGGAGGCCTCTCGGCCATCTCAGAACCATTTTGGGCCGTCTTGGTGGGCTCCTGGCTCGTCTGACTCCATCGGAAACTGTCTTGGGGGCCTCTCGGGGCCGATTGGGGCCCTCTTGGGGTGCTTCAGGGCCGTCTTGGTGGGGCCCTCCTGGGGCGGTTTTCGGGGCCTCTTGGGCCGTTCTGGGGCCATCTTGGAGGCCTTTGGAGCTATCTTGGGGCGATCTTGGAGGCCTCTTGGACCGTGTTAGGCTGTCGGAAGGCCGAAAAGAAGCACATACCAAAATCAAAAACCAGAGGGGAACCAATGATTTTGGCCTCGTCGGGCCCTCCTGGTGCATGTCTTGGACGCCTCTTAGCAGTCTTGGAGGCCTCTTGGGCCCTTTTCGATCGTCTTGGCGGCTTCTTGGCCGGACTTGGCGGCATCTTGGACCCTCTTGGGCCGTCTTGGAGGCCGTCTTGGACCATGGTGGATGCCATCTTGGGCCAACGTGGCAATCTTGGAGGCCATCTTCAGCCGTCTTGGAGGATTTTTTGGGGACGTTGAGGTCGTTTCCGGGCCTTCCGCAGGGCCAGCGGGACGGACCGAAACCCCAGGGGAGAGTTTTTTCGAACCGAAACCAAGAGCGATAGGATTTAGCACGCCGGGCACCCCTGCGGCAAACCTACAGGGGGCGGCGGATCGAAGACGCCCACGGCGAATCTGCCGCCCCCTGCCCCTTTGGAAGCGCCTCTGTGACCGACAGCTGGGCAAGAGCCAAGCTATCGGGCCAGTTGTTCCCCGAGTCGGTTTGGAAAGACTTCGGGGAACGCATGGGGGAGCAAGAAGAGGAGGAGGGGGATGATGAGGAAAAAGGGGAGGAGTAGGAGGAGGAAGAGGAGGAGGAGGTGGAGGAGGAGGAGGAGAAGGCCTCTTGGGCGCATCTTGGGGGCACTCTTGGGGCCTCCTGGGAGCTTCCTGGGGGCCTCTTGGAGGGTTTTCGTCATGCTTATCATGTTCTTTGGTTTTCTTGGTAAGCTTCCGCAGCCCCACGGCGCACCATCACAGGTCTTCCTGTTGTTCTTGTTTTCCATGTGAAAGCACACGTTGTTTCTTGTGTTTCTTGTTCTTGTTTCCTTGTTTTCCTCTTTAGCTTTCCTGGGCTCAAGGTGCGGCCACTGCAGATCCCCCCATCATGAAAACCCTGTTGCAAGGCCGCCACAAAAGGAATTGCTTTGCAAAGGCTGTTACAACAGGATCCTAAGCGTGGAGGCCACTGCAGGTCCCCCCCACTTACAATATGTTTGGCAGGTCGCCACACAAGACATTTCTTTGTAAAGGTTGCGGCAAGAGGGTTTTCAGTCCGGAACGTCTGCACCATAAAAGTACCGACAGTCACAGGTCTGCCCAGTTTTTTGTTTGATCGCTTCGCTCATTCCGCCGGCCGGCCCTGGAGCGCTATTTGGGGCCTCTTGGGGCCGTCTTGGGGGCTTCTTGGGGGCTTCTTGGGAGCGTCTTGGGGCTCCCTGGCGGCGTATTGGGCTCCCCTGGGGCCTCTTGGGGGGCTCTTTGGGGCCCCTTGGGGCGGGGGGGGGGTAGTCGATTGCAGCCCCCCCTCGGAAGCCACGATCCTGGTGAGGGGTGGCGAAAATAGCCTCCCCCCTGGAGATCGCCCGGGGACCAGCCGGGGATCGGCCGGGGTACTTTTCGTCCGGGGACCCCCCGGGGCCGCCCCGTTCGCGCGAACTAGAAATATTGTTAAGTAGCTACCGGAGATCTTAGCACGCCTTTGGCCCGTTGGGCCGGCGAATTTTGCCATGACGGGCTGTTTCATGGTGTTCCTGTTTGTCTTGGTTTCCTCTCTAGCTTTCCTGGGCTCAAGGTGCCGCCACTGCAGATCCCCCCGCAATGGAAACCCGTTTGTAAAGCCGCCACAGGAGGACTCCTTTTACAAAGGCTGTCACACAAGGATTCCAAGTAAGGAGGCCACTGCAGATCGCGCTTACTTGAAATCCTTGTGTCAGGTCGCCTCACAAGAATACTTGTGTCTTCGCAGCCAAAAAATTATCCAGGCGAAGGACCCAACCATACGCAAGTGTGAAAACCGCAGGGCAGGTGGGACGAAGCAAGGGGAATTCCTCATGGGGCCACGAACCGTGTGAGGGGTGCACCAAACTGGCGCGGGGCCGCCATGCGAACCCTGCCTCTGGGGCCTTCGGTGGAGCTCCCTATGGGGCCACGAACCGCGTGAGGGGTGCGCCAAAATGGTGCGGGGCCGCCATGCGAACCCTGCCACTGGGGCCTTCGGTGGAGCTCCCTATGGGGCCAAGAACCGTGCGAGGGGTGCGCCAGAATGGCGCGGGGCCGCCATGCGAACCCTGCCGCTGGGGCCTTTCGGTGGAGCTCCCCATGGGACCACGAACCGTGTGAGGGGTGCACCAAAATGTTGCGGGGCCGCCATGCGAACCCTGCCACTTGCGCTTTCGGTGGAATTCCCTATGGGGCCACGAACCGTGTGAGGGGTGCACCAAACTGGCGCGGGGCCGCCATGCGAACCCTGCCTCTGGGGCCTTCGGTGGAGCCCCCTATGGGGCCACGAACCGTGTGAGGGGTGCGCCAAAATGGCGCGGGGCCGCCATGCGAACCCTGCCTTTGGGGCCTTCGGTGGAGCTCCCTATGGGGCCACGAACCGTGTGAGGGGTGCACCAAACTGGCGCGGGGCCGCCATGCGAACCCTGCCACTAGGGCCTTCGGTGGAGCTCCTTATGGGGCCACGAACCGTGTGAGGGGAGCGCCAAAATGGTGCGGGGCCGCCATGCGAACCCTGCCACGGGGGCCTTCGGTGGAGCTCCCTATGGGGCCACGACCCGTGTGAGGGGTGCACCAAACTGGCGCGGGGCCGCCATGCGAACCCTGCCTCTGGGGCCTTCGGTGGGGCCCCCTATGGGGCCAAGAACCGTGCGAGGGGTGCGCCAAAATGGCGCGGGGCCGCCATGCGAACCCTGCCACTGGGGCCTTTCGGTGGAGCTCCCCATGGGGCCACGAACCGTGTGAGGAGTGCACCAAACTGGCGCGGGGCCGCCATGCGAACCCTGCCTCTGGGGCCTTCGGTGGAGCTCCCTATGGGGCCACGAACCGTGAGGGGTGCGCCAAAATGGCGCGGGGCCGCCATGCGAACCCTGCCACTGGGGCTTTCGGTGGAACCCCCTATGGGGCCACGAACCGTGTGAGGGGTGCGCCAAAATGGTGCCGGGCCGCCATGCGAAC